GGGATCTAAACCCTAAGCTTTCCTACGTTGCTCCAGCATTGTGCAGCACCCCCTACTGCCTGCATCCTCCTGGACCTTGATTTCTTACATTAGCATTTTATAATTTGCAGCATACAGATGCTGTACTTGTCTTGTTAGGTTGATACTTAAATATTTCATACTCCTTGGAGCAACTAAGCGATATTGTGTCTTGCATTTATTTTCCACATCTGTGTTGTTACCATACATAGAACAAGAAGAACTGTGACATGAACTTGTTAGGTGGTTTCTCCTTAACCTGCTGGACTAGTAACAAGATACTTATTCGTACAGCCAAGTTCAAGTATCTCCACGATGGGTCTCCGAATCGCTTACATCTAACCTTATACCGAAGTGCTGAACATCAATCTCTGTTATTGGAAGGGAGAACTTGTCCTCTCACCTGAATGCACCTTATTCATTCCACCTGCATGGCTTTGCTTATGCCATTTTCTCCTCTGGTATTGTTCCCCCCAGACCTTCACCACAAAGGCTTAACTTTCCTGGGGAACCAGCAGTTAGCATAATGGCTATATCGCTGGACTCCCACATAGTGGATCGCGGTTCGCGTCCCTGACTCGGTGGATTAGAACTCACGCCGGGCGCGTGTGTGTGCGTGCCCAAGATCCCAAGAGGAGAATGGAGGAGAAGGGATTGTGGCGTGACCATCCCCCCTGGGGGGTGATTTCTCGCTTTCTGTCTCTATGTCTCTCTCTGTCTGGCAAGTGCACGTGCCCTATAGTGAAAAAAAAACCTCTCAAAGGAAAAAAAAAAAAAAAAAGGCTTAACTTTCAATCCAGAATGAGGCAAAGCTCTTCCTTAGATGCCTTCCCTGACATTCCCAACCTACGACGCTCCATTTCTTTCCTGGACTTTTTTTAAATTAAGATTTATTTTGATTTTACTTCTTAAATTTTATTTACTTATTTGAATTAGACCAGAGAAGGACAAAGCAAGAGAGAGGGAAAGTGAGAAAGCAAGCCACCAGGTCCAGGACTCAAACCGCATTGGCTATGTAGAAGTCCAGTGCCCTTAACCATTACGCCACCTGCCGGCCTTTCTTCCTCGGACTCTTAACGAAGATGATATACATTTAGTCATTAGAGTTTTTATTTTTTAAATCTGCTTGTTCCTGAATTAATGATATACATTGAATAAGCCCCTTCATGGCCATCACAGCACCATGTATGAGTACATGGGGGACAGTTTAGCTGTGTAAGTGAGGAAAGAGCAGAAAGGTTTCAAGACAGGTCAGTTAAAGTAAGATGTCTCTCCTCCAGGCAAGATCTACGCTTTCCACCTCTGGGACAACGACTGGCTCTCTTTTCCTTCCTTGCTAAAAATCCCAACTCTTTCAATCCAGCAGGTTTGAGATGTGTATACTTTACCAACTACCCGCTCTGCACTGTTGTAAACGCAGCAGATCCAGGATTTGATTTTTAGGGGGCTTACTTGCAGAGCACAAGTAACCCCAGTGAAGCTGCAGTAATATCTCCTGGCCACCAGAGGACCGGGAGCAGCTGGAGAGATCGCTTTCTCTCTGCTGAAGTCTTCCAGAGGCCAAAGGCACAGGCTGGAAGCTCCCTGTGCATCTCGGCCCTCAGGCTTCACCCACTGCGGAGGGGCTGGCCTGTCTCCTTTCTCTAACTGGGGTCCCTTTCCTCTTGTAAAAGATGGGTCAGAAGTTTTCTGAGGCTTACCCCCTAATACTGACCTTAAATGACTACCAATCATAACGAATACACTCCAGCTGCAGGATTTAAAGGCAGAAAAGTAGTAACATAGGGATCCATACCTAATCTTTCCAACCCACCCCAACCTGCTTCTCAGCTCTTTTGCCAATTATAAAAAGAAAAGAAAAGCCCCTTAAGGCAGAATCTACCTGGATATCCCTCAACAAACTGCCTTTAGAGGCCAGGGTCCCTAACCCCTTACATTGCAGATGGCGTATTTTAAGAGCTACAGTGTTACTCCGCATGCATTCTGGCCAGGGAGCAGTCCACTTGCAGTGTGCTTTTCCGTCATTAATCACATCTTTGTTATGTGATATCCACGTGAGCACTTCTCAGTAGAGGCAGCTTCATGCTCAAATGCTCAAAGAACATTGGAATAAAGCTCCGATTGTCCTATTCAGTGATTCCAAGTCCTGGTTTGTCACCACCTCAGGTCTCTCTGGTTTTCCAAAGGGTATGCAATGTCGTCTCGAAACCAAGCTATTTTGAAGAATTCAACTAAAAGGCATGAGGCATGTGGAGTTAAACCAACAAGGGTCTCAAAACCCCAGGTCTGACTTAAAGGTCTTCTGTGCTGCCCAAGGCAGAAAACAGCCTGGAAGAGCATTTCAGGCTGCGAACACTCATTGTATTTCTACATATAACATGAGCAAAGTCAAATAATTTAGGAACCTTCCAGTTTGGACTTTCAACCACAGTCACAGCGGAACGCCTGACCATCCTGGCGTGATTGATTGACTGGCGTGCTTTAAGGTAGGTGTACCTGTAGCTTCTCAGCCCTGCATTTTGGAGTCATCAGACTTTTAGAAGACCGACTGTAAATCTCTCCAATCATTGTTTGCGCTTCTTTGCGTTGCTGAGGCAGCTGGAAACCGCCCAAAGAGGGGGAATGGGCTCTGCCGCCGGGTAGGGGGCCCTCCGGTCCCTCCGCGCGCAGCCGGGACGCCTGGCCGGGGGTCGGGGCCGCTGGCCGCGGGCGGCGGGG